TTTGAACTTTTAAAAAACCTTCATTTAACAGTTATCAACGCTTTATAAAGCTTCATTTTCGCCAGGGTACGGCCTAGCAGACGCGGCTTAGGTCGGCAGCTCCCTAGCGCTCCTAGCGGACGAAAGTGGCTGCCCGGATCCTCATTCCTTCACCGTTGCAACACTCAAATCCGCCGATACTAAGATCAACTCCTTCGCCGTTAGAACAACCACTTTCGCAGATGCAAAGATCAACTTCTTCGCCGTTACAACAATCAACTTCTTGTTTCACAGGATTAAACAGACCAAGTAAAAAGGCAAAAATCGATCCTGTAGAGGTAGCTTTCCTTCAGATGAACAGTACATTAAATACTATGGCATCTAATATATGTCAAAATAAAAAGGACAATGAGGCCGAAGATACGGACTAATTGGCAAACTTGTTACAGCGGAACTTAAGAAGACAATAGAACCGAAGAAAACTATATTGAAAAAAAAAGTTTATGCAATTTTTGTACTCGTTCAATGATGATGACGATAAATAACTTATATAACATAATATATTTTTATTATACAAGATATTATATTAATTTTATTAATATAAAATGTGTTCAATACATACAATATAGTCTATGCACGAAATAAAGTTTATTGTCAATGCAATTGTCATTGTTTATTGTCAGTTCATAATGTACTAGTGTAACTTGTTATATCGAGTATCAGGAATTTCTATAGCGCATCATTATGTTGTCCACGTCGTATGTACTCATATTGCCACGGAACCTCGCCTGCCGGTGTTAAAAAATAGGATGCAAGGGAGTTTCGCATTTCATATGCATCTGTAGCAGCTCGATGAGAACCACTTGACATGGATTGTAAATTATTATCCACTTGATCTCTCCAATCGCCAACAATAATATTTCCTTCATCACTTTCTCGATCCACATATTGACTTGGGCAATATCGTTGATTCTGTGGTAATTGCTCATCATTTTTACTTTTCAAATAATTATGTAAACACATTGCGGTTACAACTAATTTTTCAGCTACATCTGGAATTGCACATATCGATTTTCGGAATATTCTCCATCTAAACACGAGGATACCGAATGTGTTTTCAATCGTTCTTCTAGCACGCGATAGACGATAATTGAAAATTTTCTTCTCTTCATTCAGATTCCGTCCTGGATAAGGTCGCATCATGTTTGTCGACATTTGAAAAGCTTCATCGCCAACAAAATAAAAAGGTGTTTTCTTTTCAGAACCAGGTAGATGTGTCTTTCCTTTTGGAATATTAAGAGTACCTTCGTTGAGAGCCTTTCCAAACGCTGATCTAGACAATACTCCTCCATCACTTTCACTACCAAATGCACCCACATCAAACAGTGAATTTGTAATTGCTATCACAAGCAGCCATTAGCACAATGCTGAATGTCTTTTTATAATTAAAATACAGGGATCCAGAATTTGATGGTGCTTGTATAGTAATATGTTTACCGTCTATTGCACCAATACAATTTGGCATATTCCATGCTGCTAAAAAATTCCTGCTTATATGTTTCCATTCGTCTTCTGAAGGAACTTTTATATATACTCTGTTCGCGAGTTGCCCTGTGTGGCCACATGAATGTTGTTCGTGGTCTGCACGTGCCCGGTCGTCTTCCCGATCGCCCCTGTTGCCGGGTGGATTGAGCAGCCTGGGAGCACGGGGCGAGGGAGGGGGGCACGGGCGGGCTAATGAGCCGAGCTTTTCGGCCAGTAGTACGTCGTGCTATGCCTACGACACCGTATCGTCTCAGCCTGCGTCTCTCGTTGTTCGATAACGTGACATTATAATCGAGACCGAAATAAATGCGCGTTGAACCGTGAACACGTGACCAGTGAATCTTAGAGCCTTCTTCCTCTTCCCCTCATCAACCGGCCTAATTATAATTTCGTGCAAGTGGGGTCCGTTGTCGGATCGACTGGATCGACACGGACGGAACATAAAATTGGTCCTTCGAGCCGGATACGAGAACGAAGGGAAGGCTCTCGGAGCTCTAACTCTGGGGGGTAATTGCGCGACGGTGGTGCATCGAATGCAATATCTTAGTGCAGTGTATCTCTTAGTGCGTGTACGTAAGCGTGCTACGCACTATTCGTGCCTACACGTGCTCGCGCCGTGCCTCGTGCCTGATGCTCCGAGTCTCACGCGTGTTCAAACTTGCGCCTCGCGCTCCGCGCTGACGGCGCCTACAAAATTGCGCCTCGCGCTCCGCGCTTACCGCGCCTACAGACTTTCGCCTCGCGCTCCGCGCTTACCGCGCCTACAAACTCGAGCTCGCGCTCCGCGCTTACCGCGCCTACAGACTTTCGCTCCGCGCTCCGCGCTTACCGCGCCTATAGACTTCCGCCTCGCGCCCCGCGCTGACGGTGCCTACAAACCGGCGCCTCGCGCTCCGCGCTAACCGCGCCTACGACCTCGTGCTCTGCGCTCCGCGCGAGCTGCTACGACAAATCGTTGCTTCGGTCGGTGACTTTATAGACAGGCTAGCGCTCCCTAGGGTGCGATATCATGGAGTCGGCTATGAGGAAGCAACTGGCAACCAAGGGCCTCATTGACAGATTTTGGGAGAATCTAGTCAAGGTGGGCAAGGATAAAATGACGCAGTCCTACTTGAAAACCCGCCTCGCGCTACTCGAGACGTATTGGGAGCGTTTTGTGGAGGGCCACTACGCCTTGCTCGACTTCGACGACAAGGAGGCGGATAATTATGTGGCGGGCGATTGCTACTCCAAAACCGAGGAACATTATGTGGCGGTCAAGTCCCGATTGGCGTCCATGACCAACGACGAGGCTCCTGCCGGCGGGCAGGAGCCGGCGTCTGCAGCTGCCTCGGTTCTCAAGCGCATTCAATTGCCGAAGATAAGCCTGCCCACATTCTCGGGCGACCAATTAGGATGGGAGAGTTTCCGGGATCTTTTCCGTTCGCTCGTGGGTGACGTGTCGGACTTGGCTCCAGTGCAGAAGCTGCAATATTTAAAGGCAAGTTTGACGCACGAGGCGGCAGCGGCTGTCGCTAACATCGAGCTCAACGACAAGGGCTTCGATACCGCGTGGTCGGAGCTCGCGTTACGTTACGATAATCGGAGGGTCCTCTTGGCGACCCACATGCGCACTTTTCTGACAAGCGCTCCGGTCGCGCGGCCGTCGCCTGTGGAGCTCAAGCGGTTGAGCAGTTCGGCGCTGCAGGCTCGACGATCATTCGAGTCTCTCGGGCGCCCGGTCGCTCATTGGGACGATTGGTTCGTCCACGTCCTCGTGGAGAAAATGGACCCTGCCTCGCGG